GCGGCCCATGCTCAGGGAGGGGTTACTTCAGAGCGTGAACACCAGGAGGCCTGAGGTTTGGGAGCCATCTTAGAATGGCTGCCTCCTGCCTCCTCCTGGCCTTTGTAGTTGCTCCTCCGTCTGTCTGGAAGCTTCTTTCCCAGATCTCTGCATGGCTTCCTTCCTTTCCTCTCTGAGGCCTTTCCTGACCACCTTATTTGAATGGTAATATTCTCTGGGGAGGCTGAAAAATGGTCCCCAGAGATCTGCAGGCACTGATCCCTGGACCCTGTGAATATCAGGCAGCAATACACAGGCACTGTGGTTTGGCAAAAGGGACTTTGCAGGTGTGATGACGCTAAGGATCGTGAGATATCCAGGTGCTCCCTAACTGTACAGTGTGACCCTGAGGCAAGATGCTACACTGCAGCTTTGAAGATGGAGGAGGGGGCAGAGGCAATGAATGCAAGGAATGTAGCTCCAGGAGCTGGAAAAGGCCAGGGAACTGACCAATTCTGCCCAGAGATCCGGAGGGCTCGATGTCAGCCCAGTGAGACTGAGTTCAGATTCCTGAACTTCAGAAGTGAAAATAAAAATGAGTGGGTTTTTTATTATTGTTGATTTTTAGAGAGGGAGAGGGAGAGAGAGAAACATCAATGTGAGAGCCAAAGATCAGCCACCTCCTGCACGCCCCCTACTGGGGATGGAGGCTGGCAACCTGGGTATGTGCCCTGACTGGGAATCCAACCGGTTACCACTCACTGCAAAGCTGAAAAATTTCTACGGCCTAGTGACATCACAGCCACCTTAATGTTGTAGCTCATGCCGAAACCGGTTTGGCTCAGTGGATAGAGCGTCGGCCTGCGGACTGAGGGGTCCTGGGTTCGATTCCGGTCAAGGGCGTGTGCCTGGGTTGCGGGCACATTCCCTTTTTAAAAATCACAAAGAATGTGGAATGAGGTGATTATTTTAATAGTAGAAGCCAGCTTAAAGAAGAGAATAGAAATCGCTAAATTCTGGCCCTGGCCCGTTTGGCTCACTGGATAGTGTCGGCCTGGGGACTGAAGAGTCCCAGGTTCGATTCTGGTCAAGGGCATGTACCTTGGTTGCGGGCACATCCCTTGTAGGGGGGGTGCAGGAGGCAGCTGATCGATGCTTCTCTCTCATCGATGTTTCTAACTATCTCTCTCCCTTCCTCTCTGTAAAAAATCAATAAAATATATTAAAAAAAATGTTGTAGCTCATGCATTACTCACGTGTTTGTGGTGATGCTGGTGTAAACACACCGCTGTGCTGCCAGTCATATAAAAGTATAGCACAGTACATTGATAATGACAGTAAATGACTCTGGTACTGGTTTGTGTATTTATTATGCCATATTGTTTTATTTTAGAGTGTACTCTTTCTACTTATAAAAAAAGGTTTGCTGTAATACAGTATGCTGTGTTACACCAACAGCAGCCTCATACATCTCCTTTACCTTGTCTCTCTTTTTAAAAAATATGTTTTTATTGATTTTGAGAGAGGAAGGGAGAGGGATAGAGAGATAGAAACATTGATGAGAGAGAAACACCATTCATCAATTAGCTGCCTCCTGCATGCCCTACCCTGGGAATCAAGTCTTCAACCTGGGCATGTGCCCTGACTGGGAGTTGAACCAGCGACCTCTTGATTCATGGGTCAACACTCAGCCACTGAGCCACACTGGCCGGGCTACCTTGTCTCTTGATAGCATCATTTTCTTTTGTGCTTGATTTAATCTCATGTTTTGTACAGTAACAAGCTGTAGAGGCTTGCAGCCTCGCTGCAGTAGGCTAGATCAAATAGCCTAGGCATGTAGTAGACTAGACCATCTAGGTTTGTGTTGTGATGTTTGCACAACAATGAAATTGCCTAATGTTGCCTTTCTCAGAAGGTATCCCAGTCGTTAACTGGTACAGAGAAAATGATGAGCTCTCAGGAATCCACCGCAAGTCCATGCAATTGGAATAGAAACCAAATCATTTATAGGTTGATAATTTTTAAAAAATATTTTTATTAATTTCAGAGAGGAAGGGAGAGGGAGAGATAGAAACATCAATGATGAGAGAGAATCATTGATTGGCTGCCTCCTGCATGCCCCCCTGCAACCCAGGCATATGCCCTTGACTGGAATCGAACCCAGGACCTTCCAGTCCACAGGCCGATGCTCTATCCACTGAGCCAAACCGGCTAGGGCTAGCTTGATAATTTTTTTAATGTAAGATGATGGATACATGGGAGATGTTTTTTCATTAGTCTCTGCTTTTGTAGAATTTTGAAAATTTCCAGAAATTTTTAATATAAACAGTACACTAGTTCACTGTTCACATCTCAGTGCTTAAAAAAATTAAACATCACAAATACCAATAACTCTCTCTGAGCAAAGTTTTTCTGATCTCTTTCACTCTCAATGCATGTAGAGAGAACCACTATCCAGAATTTAGCGATTGTTTTTAAAAATATTTTATTGATTTTTTTACATAGAGGAAGGGAGAGGGATAGAGAGTTAGAAACATCGATGAGAGAGAAGCATCGATCAGCTGCCTCCTGCGCCCCCCCTACAAGGGATGTGCCCGCAACCAAGGTACATGCCCTTGACCAGAATCGAACCTGGGACTCTTCAGTCCCCAGGCCGACACTATCCAGTGAGCCAAACGGGCCAGGGCCAGAATTTAGCGATTTCTATTCTCTTCTTTAAGCTGGCTTCTACTATTAAAATAATCACCTCATTCCACATTCTTTGTGATTTTTAAAAATTCAATTAATTTAAACTAAAATAAAACCAATGTACTCATTTCTGTTTATTAAGGACAATTTCAAGCAGACACCAAAGTTGAGAGAATAATATAAGAATGCTCCACATACACTAAGCTTCATCAGCTTTTAACACAGGGCCAATCTCATCTGTCTACATCCCAGCCACTTCCCCTCCCACTGTAACCAGCACCCAAGTTTGGCTGCCTGCCGCCACAAAAACCAGACTCGTGAGACAAATGCTGGTGAAAAAGGAAAGAGGTTTATTCAAGTGCCGGTCACCTGAGATGATGGGGGAATCTTATCATAAAGCCCATCTCCCCATCTCAGTGCAGGCAGAGGTTTTTATAAGGAGGGGGAGGCAAAGAAGAACAAAGAAACCAAGGGGAGGCCATTGAAAATTCCCTACGTAGAGGCCAGCACCATCCATTCCTGTAAGAAATCTCAAAACCAGTCAAGTGATGGTCTGGTATGTGTTATCCTGGTCTCTGTCATCCTGGTTTTATGTCATCCTTGTCCTATGGTTGAAGGTCAGCAAATTTCCCAGAACTGGGATGACTAAAGGTCAAAGTCCGTATCTTCTGAAATTAATTCCTAAGATTCTTATACAAACATGCTGTTTTTCTACAAGCTACATATTAGTCATCATTTACAGAAACAATGTCAAAAGAATGGTGGTGTGGGTTACAATCCCCATTGTTACACCACCAGTCAATTATTATTATTATTTTTTTTTTAAATATATTTTATTGATTTTTTACAGAGAGGAAGGGAGAGAGATAGAGAGTTAGAAACATCGATGATGAGAGAAACATCGACCAGCTGCCTCCTGCACATCTCCCACTGGGGATGTGCCCGCAACCCAGGTACATGCCCTTGACCGGAATCGAACCTGGGACCCTTGAGTCCGCAGGCCGACGCTCTATCCACTGAGCCAAACCGGTTTCGGCTATTATTATTTTTAAATGTTTTTATTGAAGACAGAGAGAAGGGAGAGGGAGAAGAGGTAGGTGGTGATTATATTGCACAGCAAATACAATGACAATGATGTAGCTTTATGATTTGTCAAAAACTATTCAGAAGAGATAGAAGCTCATGCTTTGTCAAAAAACAATTTTTAATTTTTATTGATTCCAGACAGAGGAAGAGAGAGGGAGAGAAAGATCAATGATGAGAATTATTGACTAGCTGCCTTCTGCACGCCTCCCATAGGGGATGTAGCCTATGACCTGGGCATGTGCCCTGACTGGGAATCGAACCGTAACCTCCTGGTTCATAAGTCGAGATGCTCAACCACTGAGCCACGCCAGTTGGGCCAAAAAATCTTTAAGGAAAAAAAAATAATCTTTAAGGAGCACTTTATGAAATAAAGAAGTAGGCCAGGTCCTGGCCTGATAACTTAGTTAGAACGTCATCTGAAATGCGAAGGTTTCAGGTTCGATCCCTGGTCAGGGCACGTACAAGAATCAACTAATGAATACATAAATAAGTGAAACAACAAACCGATGCCTCCCCCCTTTCTCTTTCTCTAAAATCAATAACAAATTTAAAAAGTGAGGCAGAGCCCTAGCTGGTTTGGCTCAGTGGATAGAGCGTCGGCCTGGGGACTGAAGGGTCCCAGGTTCGATTCCGGTCAAGGGCATTTACCTTGGTTGCAGGCACATCCCCAGTAGGGGGTGTGCAGGAGGCAGCTGATCGATGCTTCTCTCTCATCAATGTTTCTGACTCTCTATCCCCCTCCCTTCCTCTCTGTAAAAAATCAATAAAATATATTTTAAAAAAATAAAAAAAATAAATAAATAAATAAAGTGAGGCAGAAGCAAAGGAAAAATCACCCTTCAAGGTCATACTCTCAACACGGCCACATGGATTTCTGGTAGATGAAGCCTTGTTTTGTTGGAAAGAATCTCACAATTCATGTCAACACACAGGAAGAAAACAACCCAGCAGGAGGTAGACCCAGCAGACACAACAAGTGACAGAAGTGATGGCCCCAAACACCAGATGACTGAATTACCAGACGTACTACTACACTACGCTTAACATGCTTCAAGATGTCCAAGAAGAATCAAAAACATGAGAAAAGATCAAGGCACTACCAAACATTAAAAGCAGAGGTATTTGACAGAGGGAGAATCGGATCTACCACCTTCGAAGGAGGTGACTTTAAGTCTGCTTTGCCCAAAACAGGAACAGTGACAATCATTTACTAAGTCGGAATGGGAGCCAAAGAGAAGGAAGCCAACTTCTGTGCAAACTACCTTTATTTATAAAGAAGAACGCCCCCATTTTGTTATAAAACCAGCACTGCATGAAGGCACTTGGTCGGCTGGAGAGTGCGGGGCGGGAGGGGGCGGGGCGGGGGGTGTGTGTGCAGAGATCCCGGTAGAGAGACCAGTGTGCCTCACCTGGTCCCCCCCAAGGCTGCTGGGAGAAACGGGGGCAGAGGTGACTCCCAGGCAAAGCCACTGGAGGTAGCCCATCCCACTGGGATGATGGGTGGGCTTGCTTTGAGGGGCTTGGGGAGGGGCTGACAGTAGGAGTGGAGGGCACTTTGGACAGAATCTGATTTGGCAAATGGGGGGGGGGGCTCTCTCTTGCCCCACAATGACCTCCCACAGTTAAGGCAGGTTTCTAAACGTAAGGCTGAGCTTCTCCTCTCCTGGGCGGGCTTCCAGGAAAGCAGAGAGCTGGCGGCGAGGATCCGGCCCCTGCCGGGCTTGGGGTGCAGGGAGGGGCAGCGGTCATGGATCCGGAGTCAGGAGCCACGGCAAAGCTGCTTCCTCCTGTCTCCCCTGAAGATGTCCTTCTCTCCGCTAGACCTTACTCCTCTGAGCCTTCACCCTGGGGAAGAGCTGAGGGAGGACAAGAGTTTCAGACACCAGGGGCTCCCACCCCCTCTTCCCTCCCCACAATTGACTGGAGTCTCCTATCCACCCCAAACACCAGACGGTCTCCTTCATCCCATTTCTTCCTGAGGACTAGCTCGGCATCTCCCAGCCCGCTCTGGAATGCCGAGTCCCTGTCACCTTCAGGCACCACACGGAGCCTTCCGGTGGGCAGCCTGCTGGATGAGCTGGGAGGTTCTGAGCCCCACACCC